CTTCTCGGCCAGCTTGGCCAACTTCTTCTTCTTCTCGGCGCCCCTTTTCTTCTCCTTTTCTGCAAACTCATCTTCATGATGTCGACATCAAAACCAAACGGGTCCTTTCCTAAGTTGATTTGCACTAAAGAAATAATAAAAAATGAGCACATCAAGCATCTCAAGATTGGCTATGAAAAAGAGGAAACAAAAGTTCAGTTCGGCTTACCAGGCTTCGATTTCCAAACTCGGAATAATTCGAGTTTGAAGCAGTTGATGGAGGCCTCATTGATCTTCACGAAGAAGAAGTACCTGTCCCACTCGTGGACTTTGCTCGTCGGATCTCCACCGACGATCCCATGCCTCATGGTGGTGTATAAATGACGCCACGATCCCGAACTGCTCCACCTCCCAGGCTTCAAAAGCGAGATCCTCTCGAAAATATCGCAGTTGAAAGGAACCTTTGCCGCTCGAGCTACCGCCACCATGGAAATCAGATGCCTAATCACGGCATGTGAAAGCTGGTTGAGAGGCACCTTCCTCCTTTCACAGTAACGAAGTAGGATGGGCAGCAGCAGAAAACTCAAGCCGAACTCGGCGAAATGACACTCGTATGAGCAGAAATAACCTCTGGCTGCGAGGTCACCCTCTCATGTACTTGCGGCAGGAGTACCTCGACTCCGGTAGGGAAATTGCACAATCGTCTAAGTTCTTGAAGTCTGTCGGCCGTCATCCAGGTCCGGCCGTCTTTAATCATGTCCCCTTTAGCCAAATCATTCTTTGGCATCACTATCTTCCGAGGAAGACCTTCGATCCGACCGACTGGCTTGGGACCATCTGATTCCATCTCGGAATCGGCGTTAGGGTGGTCCGATGAAATCTCGTCCCGATAACCCGAAGACCCCTCAGAATTAGAGGGAGAAGAAGGCACTGGGCTAACCCAGGCCCGCCTCGCGGCAAGAGAAATCTCATCATCGTCGAAGAAGAAATTTTGCGATAAAGTCGACATTTTTATGGAAAGAAATTTATGGGTGAATTACGGAAGCAAAAGGAAGATCGGCGAGTAAGAAAAAGATTAATTGCAGCAAGGAAAGGAAATTATCGCAAAAGTTCAGAAAAAGTAAAATTTTCTGGAGCAAGAAGACGAAGATATAAAAACTAAGTAATAAAATCGGAAAGAAATATCAATAGTTTCTTAAAAGAACGCGTGTCGAGATTCGCGCAATCTAACCGTCTGACAAACCTTTCACTTTTCCCGCTTAAAGCAAAACTCTAATGGGTCGGAATATTTAATGATTTATTCCAAGGAAGCGTCACACGTCAAATTCATTTAAATCGGGCAGAGCTGGCCATCGCGAAGAAACGCTCTTGACAAGCTAACGCTTATTGCGAGATCAACCCCGTTTAACTTCATGAAGTCCACCGACCTTTTACAATCAGTCTCGCCGAACTGGGGGGGGGGGACTTACTGTTAGAGGGGAAATGAGCACATTTCCTAAAACGGCTTTCTCTAGCAATAACCTAAGCCCATCAAGACCAGGAAGACTGCGCCGACGTAGCTCTAAAAAGAAAAACTCTTAGAGATAATCTTCAACGTCCGGAAGCATCGGATTACCTCAAAGGATAAAGGAGAATTTCCATATTCTTCAGAGAATAAGAGATATTTCCATATCGCAAATATGAAAATATTCACCAAAGAGAAAAGGAAAAGGAGTTCGGAGCAACCGACCTCATATCCCTATAAATAAGAAGACTTCAAAGCTGAAGAGAAAAAAATCATACAATTTAGAAGGCAGCAGAGCTAAAACCAAGAACTCCAACGTTTTCTAGTTTACTTCGCAAATACTTTTTTTCATCTCGGCATAACCTCTCGGTTAAACCAACTCTTGTAATCACTTCGCTTCGCTTTACAGCTATGATTAAAAAAAATCTTAGGAGGTGTTATTGGTTCTTGTATTTTAATGGATTTGAGAATCCAAACCAAATTCAGTGTTATTGGTTCTTGTATTTTAAAATTTATATTGAAATACAGTGTTATTGGTTCTATGATTTTAAAATCCATAATGAAATACAGTGTTATTGGTTCTATCATTTTAGAATCTAAATATTATAAGAATTTGAGTTTTAATTGAATTTGAATGGATTTGGAAGGATTTTTATGACTAAAATACAAAGATCCAAATACAAGGTCTAACCTTGGTATTTGAGTGGATTTGATTTTTTTCCATTTTGCTGATTTTGAAATCAATAAATTTATCAAATCCAAAGAAAATTTATAAATCCACCAAAATACAAGAACCAATAACTCCTATTTATTCTCCGAAACTCACAATTGTTAATCAAATCCTTAGTGATGATTTTCCGGTTCAACAGAAACCAATATAACTATAACATAGACTATCTTTCTGTAACGACGCCGATGAAATGAAAAAAAATATATATATGTATATATATATATAGATGTGAGAAAACGAATAGAAATGTAGAAAACAAATACAAAATTACGTAATTCATTAAGGTTGTGTACTGGTTATACCTACGTAATCTATACCATTAGTACATCAATATTGCCATGATGCCATCATGATTTTATTTCTTTTCAATAGGCTATAAAGGTGCCACTAGAATGTGATGAGTGTAAGAAATTTTCATTAAAAGTTTTCAACCGTGCACCGTTTGTTACACTGCATAATGTATACATCAGGTCTTCAATGTGCAGTGGAATCTATTCCTTTATTCTAATTGGCTCCCTCCTTTTCGGAAGTCCCTTGAATGGACCCCATTTATTTTCTGCACACTATACAATTTTTTAAGGATTAAAGTCTTTCTCTCTACACGAATATCTTTCAAATCCTAATGATTATAAGAGAAAATATTTATATTAGTTGGCTACTCGAACTTAAGAGGAGGCGATAGAGGATGTATGGCGTTAAATAAGCTCATGCGCCACCTAACAAACTCATACATATACATGAATTAAATTTGATTTGCAAGGCTGTCGTGCATCTACCACCGTTGATTTCTTAATCAAAAGCAACTTAAGTACAAAGTACTATTTATAATTTTATACTATTAGAGTATGTATTGTGGAATATGTTTGACCCATTTATCATATAAATTTAGGTATGTAGTACAGACTACGATATTGATATAAGAATTACTATTGTGGAAAATGTATTATTATAAGAATTACTATCGAAAATGAACATCAGATATGATATCGTTTTACTACTTTGTAATAACAGGAGATATCAAACCATCCGAACAAGTTCCAATTTAAAAGTAACCTAATCAATTCCAAGTATTATTCCGGAATAATCTTGCAGTAAGATATTTGGACTATAGTCAACTCAATAATCTTGCAGTAAGATATTTGGTTTTCAGCAAGGAAGATATATATAATCATTATAGTAGATGAAAATATAAGTGAAGAAATACACGAGATGAAATTCATGTAAGATTGGCATAATTGTGTCTCTTTATTTTGCCGCCGACATCATTATGTCTAATATTTTGGTTGAGTACTACTAGTCTAACTATAAATTAAAAGGACATAATGCTAATTGATTATCCCACTGGTTGTTGCAGCCTATGAAATATTTTTTGCTGCTAGACAGAGAATCTTTTAAACACTATTCGGATCTCACTCAGCATCTGAATCACTTTAGTTTTCTATTTTATGTCTTTTTTTATTATTGAACTTAACACTTTTTGGTCCAATATTGTAACGTGAGACCAAATTAATATATTCCAAGATATTTGGTTTCTTTTTGTACGGTTAGCTTTTTCGACTTTATATATAACTTACCAACCATTTGAAGCTCAAGTTGATAATTTCTATGATTAACAAAAGGAGACTAGAATTGAACTTTCATGTCTTTTAGTATTTTCTTTATCATCTTGTAAAACTTCCGAGCCTTTTGCAGAGTGGAGCGATGTAATTGGTTTTCTTTTAGTTTTACTACACATAGATCTCTTAAGCTGTCACCGTTTGCAAAGAAACATAATGGTGTATAAGTCTTAAGATATATTATAGTATATATTTGCATGTACTCTGTGTAAGCTATCAGTAAGTAAAAGCCATTTTTGGTGTGTCGTAAGTTCAAACACTAGGGCATAAATAATATTGATTATAATACTAAGTAGTGCAGTGAGTGATTTTTGGAAAACTTTGTTACGTGGGAGATAATTGAACGAATCACCAAAACAAATCATACTAGGGAAATTGGTTACTTATGTGATTTATATGTATTAGATCCTATAAAATTGTAGTTATGTTGTACACAGTATTTAAACGGAATTTTTATGAAACTACAAACTAAAACATTCATCGTTTTATGGATTCATCATATCTAATTTATGAAATAGAAGAGTCAATTCCCTTTGTATAAAAAATAAATTTGAAATGAAAACTATATATATTATTTTGACCAGTAAAAAAAAGTATATACGCAAATTATTTGAATAAAAAATAGTTACATAAGTTTATTGATCAATGCCAGCAATCATATATTTGTTTTAAGATTTTGTTCTTTAATTTTATTTTGTTAAATATTGAACAAATATTTTATTTACTAATCCGTGTATTGACGAAAGATCTAGTTTGTGATTAAAATTGAAGATCAGATAAGATAAATTGTCACACTGGCTGTTTCTAAAAATCAAAAATTCCAAGAAAACATATTTCCTCATCATATAAACGTCCACCAATTCTCTTGAAAAATACTTGAGTACGGTATTCATAAGCACTGTTTTTGTTTAATATTCATAAGAACATTCTTCGGATAAATTGAAAACACTTCTTTTATAAAAATATTATTACAATCACATAACCCCACAAGAAACTGAATATGACGAAACAGTACGTAGATTACATATACAATGATGATATAAAAATCCATATTCAGTAAAAAAACATATCAGCCCAATCTCATTTTATAATAAGGGACCAAATATTAAAAATAAAAATAACATTGCTTTATAATCACATATATAAACCATGTTATTATTGTCCATCTCCGTCAATTGTGTACGGAATGTCCAATACCAGGGCTATGTCCGGGTGCCGTGGGCCTGAAGGTATCAACTCCATGGCTTGGCGGTGGCTGAATTGGCTCAGCCGGTGGTGACAACGGCACAGAGCCATCAGCACCGATTTCCTCAGTAATCGTCATGGTGGACTTAGTGAGTGTTCGGGCTTCAACGGAACCAATCTCTTGTAAGATAATATTAAGAGTCAAAAGGAAAATGAATGCAAAGAGGTAAACATTAATTCTCGCCATTGATTTAGAAACAGAACTAGAAAAATAATATATAGTCGAAGGTGAATATATGTATTATGAGTTGATGCATGAAACCTCTTGGACCGTGTGGTCTATTTATAGAGATGAAGTTTACATCACATGGGCGCAACACTTGATCAGTTCAAATTAAATATTTATGTAAAGAGTCCGTGTGCTTTACAACTATTAAGTACTAATTAAGAATATAGTTAATGATTTGCTTTTCTTAATTCGTAGTTGCCGGTTGCCCTTTCAGGATTTAAACTTAGTTGTCTTTCTCCTATCCATGGACATCCCGAGTAGATCCTATTGTTAAAAGTTTAGTTTATATCAAAAAGTTTTTGATTTTGATTTTGGTGATTAGAAGAAAAGCATGTGCATGAAAGTTCAAAGAGCTATATATTAATGCAATTTAATTATGTTTTCTCTCATACATCTGTATTTTTTTTTTCTGCAACTATGTGTGAATAGTATTATAGTTAGGTCTTACGCTTTTCAAGAGAGTTCATGAATCAATACGTAGGATTGTTATATAGAGAATTTTAAGTGGTTTCTTCATCTATTGTTGATACTTAAACTTAACTCACGACATATTTTCTAATCTTAGGACTAAATTACTAATATTTCGGTTCTGCATTCATACAATCGCTAAAGGCGAGAAACAAGAACTGTAACAAGATCAAAGAAGTTCGAAATAAATTCATTGTATGGTTTTTGTATCCTGCATGTGTTATATACACTGTATACTATGTAAAAACTTACATGTAGCTTGCTCGTACTTTGAGACAGAATAGCTACAACTATAGGCCCATGAAAGTGATCCAGGCCGTGCCTAAGTGTTAGTAACATAACTAGTTAAGCCCAAATCCACAACACAGGTAATGCAAAACGACTATCGTGTTGATGACACTGTCCTTTTTTTACTTTTAGATATAATTTTACTCGAAGACATCTCCGTAGTTTTTACATCTACCGTTGCAGTAAACAATTTGTAGTAGTTAAGAAAAAAACTACTCAAGGAAAGCGACGACCAACATGTGGGTATATAGCTGTCTTTTGAATTGTGAGTTTCATCTTCGTTTAACCGTCAGTTTCTTATTTTGTCCTTACTGTAAACTCTTACAGGTTTTTATTGCTTCTGCATTTTAGCAAGAGTTTTTTTTTTCCATTTCTTTGCATAACATTTTATATACCTACTTTTTTTTTATTGTACATTTACATTTAGTTTCTCTTTTATAAGTGGCTTAGTAGGAATTAGATTCACATAGCGTTGGTTAATTTTAAAGCACGATCCAATCATCCAAACCCATAAATGATTATCACATAGCGTCGGCTGTATTCTTTTTTCTGTTCTTAATTTATTTGAAACCATGTTTCCTCTTTCTCTTTTAAGAGAATGTTTTCTGTGTGATTCTCGCATTTGCTTTCTCTTCCTCTGGAAGAGCATTGTCCGATAGTTATTTTATGATTTTTCTGGGTTAATTTTGCCGGTATTAGTCCGTTTGAGTAAAAGATCAGACGGTTGGTTGGAATTATCTTTTTCGGATGAATTCAAAATCTTTAAACTGCTTTGGGATCTCATTTTTCTGTGTATTTCCCAGAATTATTCCTTCAATTTTTGTCTACTAGGAGTGATACAATACAACATCACTTCCAAGTCACTAATCTGGGGGCAAACGATGTAATGAGTACTTTTCAAATTGATTGTGTCTTCACTATTGATCCAGAGAACAACCGCATGAAGTCATCAAGAACTTGTCTGGACAACAAAGTGAATGAGATCAATCTTGTTCATTATTGGGCATGACCTTTGGATGGGTCAAAGTCACAGTTTTCTCCATTGACATTGATACGAAATGTTTGGTATCAATTTGTCTATTTTTCAGAACTATCAACAAAAGCAATGGGTTTATTAATGTGATGTGCAAGTAGAAGTCTCGATGAAGAAAGGAAGACTACACACAACATCCGCATAAGAAGATCGATTATCAATAAGGAACTTAACAGATTTAATCATCTGTTTGCGAGTAAGACTTCAGTAAAAAGCATCGTCAATTCACTTATTTGTTTTAATCATCTTCAACAAATGGTGCATCTATCTGATATAATATTTTGCTTTTGTAATTACTGTAATGACTTTGTAACGTTTTGCTATTAATGAATAAGTTTTGACAAAAAAAAGAATATAACTTTAGTTAATAAAAAAATATAATACTTATTTACATTATAAAAATAATTTTATTATTAAAAATATATACAAAATTTAAAAAACTATCCTACAGCATAGCATGGATAAATACCTAGTAAACATATAATAAGCCAGTTAAGCGTTAACGTAAAAAAACATTTTTAACTTACCTGACGTGGTATGATTTTAGAAATTTTTTTTTATTGAAGTGGGCACATCCAACAGCCCCCAAACAGTCTTTTTATTAATTAGGATATAGATTTAAATAATATATTTTTTTTAAAATATATTTAAAATTAAAATTTTAAAAATTTATGCTCCATTTATTACTATTTTCAAGTTTTGTTTGTCAATTTTAATGATGATCTACACATATGAATATGGCATATATATGGACTCTTAAGTAGTAGATCATAGAAGAAAAGGAATGACCAACTTTAGCAACGGAGTTAGAAGAATTTGAGATCCTCAAATCTTATCTTTATGAATTTTTTTTTGAATTTATTCCTTGTAATCTTAATGTCCGGATTGATTGTCTTGCTAAAAGCGATCAAACCCGAGAATCCTCTTTCTCCTATGTAAACAATTCTCTTCCAGACTGGTTGGCTTATGAACCATCCTTCTTTGGAATATAATAATGTAAAGAGCTTTTATCGTTAAAAAAAAAAAAAGTAGTAGATCATAGTTCACTCCAGATAAATCATAATCTACATTCAAATAAAAAAAATTAATGCACTTATCATTTTATTTTAATAATTGATGATAATCTATGGATAACAAAGACAACTCAATTTTAACAATGATGAGTGCAGATGCACATCGTGCTTTTTGAACTCACACACTCGCCTATTCCCTTCCATTTTGAAGAACAGTCATACGCGCACACCATAGATTCACAGTCTTCATCTTTTGTGATTATATTTGCACGACATAATTTTTCTCCTTGTGTTTCCTTTGTCACCATCCCTAAAAAACAAAATCTCAAAAAAAAAATTAATACAAAATGCAATGGCTATGAACAAAAATACTGTGAACAAAAAGAAGATACGTGGAAAAATATCTAATCTATATATATTATCTTTAAAACAAACCTAAAGCGAGGATAACTATGAAGATAGAGAGAACAATAGCCTTCGTCATTTTTGATAATACAAAAGAATGAGAGTGTTAAAATAAATAACAATTAATGTAATGATATTAATGTACACATGAATATCATATATATACGAAATTATAAAATATCACAAACTCCAAGTTAGGTACAAAAATCAATTAGTAAGTAAGTCAAGCTGTAGACAGAACAGTTCTAATAAAACAGATAAAAATAATAGTTATATATGAAATATTATGGAAACCAGGTGAATCAAATATTCAAAAATCAATAAATCACTATATAAATGCTGGAAAAGAAAGAAACAAAAATATCAAAATATTTACAGTAATTTGTTTTAGATATTCTGAATGCATATATAGAGTAATTTCAGATTTTTTTAGTGCATACTTGCAGTAAAGAGATTTTTTTAATTTTTAATTTTAGAATCAAAAACTAAAATTTTGTTTAGTAACTTCGAAATTTTAAAATAAAAGTAATAATAAATTTCAACTATCTTTTTATTTACATAAATTAAATAAATCATTTACATAAACAATAATTTAAATCTAGAAAACAAAATCATAAAATTAACTTATCTATAAAGCAACCCTAAAGAATGAAATATATAAGGAATAATATATTTCGTCAATTTTAATGATATATAACAATGACAACATTAAAATAAAATGAAAATTAGCTTGATGATAGTAATGTATTTGTAAGTGAATATCACATACATATATAAAAAATTATAAAATATCACAAATGCTATAAGTAAGTAGATGATGTAAACAGAACAAAATCTAAAATCATTTGGTAAAAATGAAGAAGAAGAAACAATACAAAATATAAGAAAACAAATAGAAATAATATATATAAATTAACTATTATGTAAATGAGATAAAAATGTAATAAATTATATTTAGTAATATTATATGATACATGAATCAAAAATTAAAAAGGTTACAGTAAAACTTCTATAAACTAATAATGTTGAGACTATACTATTTTATAAACTTTTATTAATTTATAGATATATTATCTAGTCAATAAACTAATTTTAAAATTGACAAATAATATCAATTTATCGAAGTATTAGTATATTTGTGAATATAGAAACCCATACTTAGAAATTTCTGTGTTTTGTAAGAGAAAAACTTTATGAGAATTAAGGGATAAATTCTCTCGAACAGATTGACAATATAAGCTAGTACTAACTAAAATAAGGACTTGATATTAATCGGTTGAATGAAATAGTTACAAGGATTTCTCTGAAAGAGATGAAATGAAAAAAGTTCTAAGAGCAGTTACAGAGTTTCCGTGTGTAAAAAATATAGAAGAAGATCAAGCCGAAAGTCCCCGAACTAAGCAGTTTGTGTCATTTATATAGCTCGCCTTGTCGAGCTTCAACCTCCAGCGCGTAACTCAGCCATGTGCAGCAGCTTCAGGCAGAAATCTCGGCCACGTGCAGCAGCTTCGTCCGTGAATTTCAGCCTCGTTTGAACTGGCGAGGATATTCTCTGACTTGGCTTGGATTCTTCCTTGTTTCTTGGGATTTCGTCGAGCTGGAGCTCGACCTCGTGAACGGATCCTTTGATTGTTCAAGTTTGGACCATTGCAAGGAAGTGGGCCTGGGTTATACAAACAAAGCAAAGCCAATTTGTGTTTAGTTTGGATCTGCCTGTTAGGCTTGAGTGAACCGGATTTATGGTGCTAAATCCAGCTCCAACAATTGCACCCCCCCCCCCCCCCCCAGCCCATTAATGAGAAAGAGCTCGAGCTTTAATGGACGGCAAGATGTGATTTTTGAAAGATTTCATATTTGTCGTGCTGATGTCACGACGTCAGAAAATTATTCGAGATCGACAGTTCAGATCCTGAAAATGTGAACAGTCCATGGATCGTATGGTCGAGAATCGACTTTGAAGTCGCGGCTTAACTGTTGTGATAAGTTTTTTATTATCTTGTCCAGATGGACAGTTGGAGTCGAAGTAAATATTGACATTTACTTTTTTGTTTCGGCGATTGAGCTTCCCGTGGCAATGTGCAGCCCTCGAGAGGATTCCCGCAGATACTTTTTGATGTGAAAGGTCCAGATGGAGAGAGAGAAAGATGATCCGACAGCCTTGATTAATCGGGTTCTACAGCACGCCAGATTCGTCGAACCGAATATTCAACGGTTGAGATCTCAGAATCGGACAGTAGAGATTGGCACGTGGCCAGATTTTCTGTGATCTACGAGGTAAGCAATAATTACCGAGATATAAAGTTCACATTCTCCACTCCTTCTTTAACCGCATCAGTTTGTCGATTAAAGGTAAATTCTTCTCCTCTTTCTTTAATTTTCTACAACTTCCGTTTGTCACAATTTTTGAGAAAGGAGGTTTTTCGGCGATCGTTTGCTAAGTTTCTCGTTTGCTTTCAGAAAAAACTTCGATCTTCTTTCTGGTTTTTCTAGGTTAGCATCTTTCGTTTTCTTCTGCCTTCTTTCTTTTTTCAATGTCGGCGATTGTTCAAATCAAAGGAGAAGGGTCCGGGAGGAACGCCGTAGTTCTGGGCCCATCAAAACTAAACGACCAGAGGGCTCTTGACGACTTCCATCAAGAATGTGAGATCCCCCATGGGGTGGAGCTGGCAGTCTTGACGTCAGCGGAGACTCCGGCGAACGTGGAGCCGGGCTTTTGTTGCGCGTACACGACATACTTCCGGGACTGCAGGTTGTTCTTTGTAACACCCCGACCCGGCCTTCCTCGGCTGCAGTACGAGTGTTCCATGTTCAAGCCGCATTCCCCGGCTGAACCTCCCTTTTAAAGTCTTTTCCTAGCAAATCTCATCTATGAGGTTTTATTGCTAGACTATCTTATGCAGCGGAAATCTCTAAGTATTTAAAACTATACTTTCCCTTGGTTTTAGCTTAACCAAGCACTTGCCGGTCTGATGATCTCTTGCTTTCGGTAGTCCACTTGACCACCGTTCTGCTCGGAGATCAATCTTGGACTCGAACAAGCTAAGCATCTTATGAAACAACCGTTCCATTCTCCTAGACCATTCTACTTAGAACTAGGCTAGTGACTATCCATGTAGTAATATTCCAGCAACGGACTAGTCAACATCCTAGCCATCCAGCTCAAGTCTTAGTCTAGTCGATACCCTAGCTATTTCAATCCAGCTACAGTCTTATCTAATCCATACCTTAGCCATATCCACGAGGTGTAGCTGCAGCTTGACTAGCTCATTTGTCACTCCAGTCAGCTGTGCTCAGCTGGTCTCAGCTGATCGTGCTCATGGTTGTACAATCAGCTCCCTTAGCTTATACACCATCTCCGATCCTTCCATAGTCATTCAACCAACCATACCCACATGACTAGGTTAGATCAGAGAGGCTATTCAGCCTCATGGCTCGACTAGGTTCGTCCCTTAGGATCACCCGATCGTCCATGTCCTTCCCTTTACGATCTAGTCCAATCGTACTCTTGTTCTCCTTATGACTTCATGATCTCTCCCGATCATAATCATGTTTCTCTCGACCAAAGTCAGAGTTTCTGGCGAACGCCTGACTGGAATCGTGAGAAATGATCCAATCCGGATCATTTCATCCGACCATTCATCCTACCATCACGACCATTCGCTAACGGTCGTGACCATTTCCGGGATACTTGACCAGTATCGCGTGGCCGTGGTCAATCCTCCGATACGGCTCCCCGATTCCACCGATGTTTGGCTGGAATCCTCTCCACGTGCCTACTCATGATTTCTCACTGTCCTAGACACGTTCTCTCGGATATAATCCTGCTTCTCTCGGTAATAGCCACGCTTCACCCGATCATAGTCGAGGACATTCGGCTATCTCTCGATCGTAGTCCGTTTCATCCGACCGTCCTTGAGAGATCTCACGACCCTCGGTAAAGATCCCTCGGCAATCCGATTATTTTGGATAATCTCTCGGATGAAACCTTTCCCTTCGGCCGTTCTCTCAGCGCGGTATGATTCCTCTCGGCAATCCTCTCGGTATAACCATCATCTCTTGGTTATAGTCAGTATCCGATCCTCGGATCTCTCGTGTCTCCCGACTATCACCGCGAGACTGCCGGGTAATCTTTTACGCTTTCGGATATCTCTCCTTTCACTTAGACGAACATCCATCGCCTGGAGTTTCTCTCGGATATGGTCAGCATATATCCGTTTCTCCCGGTGATAGTCACGAACCGTTCCAGCAATCCTACGCGTCATCCGGCTATCACCGCGAGACTGTCGGATAATCTTCTCCTCTTCCGGATATCCCTCCTTTCTCTCGGGCGAACATCCATCGCTCGGAGTTTCTCTCGGATGTAATCACGGCTTGACCGTTTCTCTCAGATATAGTTGCGAACCGATCCACCGATCATTCCCATCACTGGACTATACTTGCGAGACATCCGACTATCATCGGGATACTGCCGGGCAAATCTTCTTCCTTGTCGGATATCACCCCTTTCTCTCGGATATGGTAACCGAATGACAGCTTCTCTCGGATGAAGTCACTGATTGACCTATCGATCCTTTGCATCATCCGACTACCCTCGGGAGACATCCGATCATTCTTCTTTATCCTTCGGATAACTTGCCATTCTCTCGGCTAAGTTTGCCTTTCTCGGATGATCTTCACCTTCTCGTGGGTATATCCATTTTCACTCGGATGGCACTGGACTTCTCTCGGATATGGTCCGAGTTACTCTAACGGTGACCTGACTGGAATGCGGACATCCTTGTTTCTCTCGGACCATCTCTGATTCTCTCCCGGATAAAATCCCTTATCCAGTTCTTCACTCGGTGATTCTCATTTATCACAATCATCTCTCGGATCATCTCCGCGTCTCCCGGATGATCTCCGATTCTCTCCCGGATAAATTCCCTTATCCTGTTCTTCACTCGGCGATTCCCTTTTATCCCGATCACCTCTCGGACATTCTCTATTTCTCCCGGACCATCTCTGATTCCCTCGGATGATCCCCATTTTCTCTCGGATAAATCCCCTTTCTCCCGGACAATACCGAACTTCTCTCGGATATGGTCGGAGCACTCCGGCGCCGACTGGACTGGAATCCGGATATAATATTTTCTCTCGGCTATCTTGGGGATAAATCGCCTTAGGCGTGAGAGATGATGAATTTTCCACGAAAATCCGTCCTTATAAAGCCAATGGGCGGGTTTCTTGTCCAAAAACCGTCCACCCTTTATACCCCAATCTCAGCCATTGATTCTTTCAATGGCCAGGATTGCACCCTTTGGATCATGGGCAGTTATTTGTCCATAACCACTTTTGACCGAGCTCCACCTGCCCAGCTGACTTACCACTACTTCAGTCACATCTTAGCTCGGTATCTAGCTGGTCAGTCCGCCCAGCTGGGTCAGTACTCGATCAGCTGACTGAGCTAGGTTGAGCTGCCGGTCAGCTAGTAGTCAGCTTGTTCAGCTATTAGTGAGCTGGTCCAGCTAGTAGTCAGTTACTTCAGCTTATCCAGCTCAACTATTCTTGTGAGCTTGACGATTCTGAATCATCTGATCCGACTAAGTCCTTCGGACTTGTTTCTCGACCTTGACTAAGTCGTTTCCTTAACTTGTTCACGATCAGTCCTTTTGATCTGAACCAAGTCACCTATTTTTCTCGATACAAACAGGCCCACTATCCCAAGCCGGGATAGGGATGCCACAAGTCTCCCCCACTAAAAAGGAATTCATCCTCAAATTCGGTGGCAGTGA